ATGATTACTAAGTCATTAAATTTACTAAGTTTCAAGTGTGTGGACATTTGCTAAAAATGTCATGTCAAAATGGCCAGCATGTGCTGGGTGGGAGTAAGTGGACCATACCTGGGGAAATTGAAGTACTGTGCTGTGTGTAATACCTGAGTAAAATTACATACAATCCCCTCCACAGTTCCAATATATTCACACAAACTTCCTTGGCATCTACATGTAGTATCAATGAATTCTTGCCTATTTCTTTTTATTCCTCACCTGTCAGCGCCAGTATGCTGTTCTCCCCACAAACCACATCTGTGAACTTCACTCCTTCTGGGCTAGTCCACCTGCTCAGCACCTGTCCCGTACAGGTGTCCACCTGCACACACTGGCCCCCCTCCCACACCACCACCAGGCCGTCAGCTGTCCAGGTGCAACTTCTAACAGCTTCAGTCTCAAACTTTCGGTGCTGGTGGGACTCAGCGTTTAGGAATCCTTGGGTCATGACGATTGTTTTGCCTGCAAAAGCTGATGAAGGATGAATGTTAGAGCTTCTTGTATTCATCAGAACTTAACAGAAGTTTGTGAATGTGATATCCTGATTGTGAACTAAATGAATCATAAAAGCCAATCTGTGGAGACCCCATAGCCATTTAATAGGTGCCCTCTTTTTTGCAAGAGGATATTCTCAGTGAAGTATGAATGATGAGAGACTAATTGCTGGAAAAGAGTAATGCCATTTAGATCGACAGGACCATGCAACCAATGGGCAATGGGGGCATCAGAAATTTATAGTTATGATCCACTGATTACCGAGTTACACGTACATGTATCAATCTGCATAACGTGACATCACACAAGTAGTGAATTCCTCATTCCTTGAATTGATCTGGAGTCCAGGACAGTCAAAAATTTAACTTTCCAAAAATCCGGATTAATCTAACTTCTAAGTGTCAACATGAACAGAAGGCCCAAAATGATTTATCTCCAAGCAGATCCTAGGGTGGCAAAGGACAGGTATCAAATTGGCCAGGCAGTATACATTTGCCAAAGAGGGTCCTTTTGGGTGGCACAGTGATTGATGATGATGGACCCTCTCTGGCAAATGGATACTGCCTGGCCAACTTGATACCTGTCTTTTGCCACCCTAAAATCTGCTTGGAGATTACAAAATGATGCGTATAAAATATAAAATAGCTTTGTTGTGTGAGACATACCTGCAAAGATAGCAGCTGAACTCCATGATGCTGCAACCATAGTAACCACATCATCATCATCATCATCGTCTGGTCCTGTGGCCTTCAGCTCCAAAGGATGGGCCAGGAAATTGTCGCTTCTGTCAGGCCTCAGCTGCCCAAAACCATTATAACCAAAAACATACAATTTTCCCATCCTACAACAGTACAAGCTACAACTTTCACATATTTAACACTTCTCCTTGCTTGAGTAGAACAATATTCAGCCAAAACAGAACATGAGTGTTTTGGTGATGTTTTAGGCTTACAGGACTCAGAGTTGTAAACATTTTTGATTGAAAAATAAACTTAGGAACATAGTCTAAAGCAAAAATGGCTAAGACCTGTTTTAAAGTTGACTTTCTACCCTACGATTTACACTGTACTACTGCTACAACCACCCAGACCAAAGATAAAATGGACTCTTCCATTGATGTCAAAGGTTATCGAGCATGCGAACAACACACAAGAAGACATTTTTGTTACAACATATCCTATTGGCTAGCTTATCGAAACCCAAAAATATCGACCAATCACAGATCATGTTTTGAAAGTCGTTCAAGTAGAGTAACAGACGTCAAGATGGTGCTGGAAAGTACTATGATATGGTGAGTTTGTCGTCAAATTTCTCGCTATTTGGGTCAAAAAGATGATAATTTGATGCAAACAGTCATTTTTTAGAAGATGATATTCACTATAGTGTGAATATTTTATATCTTAGGGCTTTATTTTGGCCGTTGCGAGAGTGTAAATTTGGCGGTGTGAGGCGATGACAAAGCAGACTTTCAGAAGAAGCCCCCCACCCCACATGGCCCAAATTTTCATCACTTATTTATCAATTAGATAGCCTGGGTACCATCCGGATTTTCGCTACGCAACGCTTGAAAAAATTTTTCAAGCGTTGCGTAGCGAAAATCCGGATGGTACCCAGGCTATCAATTAGAGTCTTTTCACTTCAAAGACTACTAGTACACACCTCGTGCTTTCATAGCCACAAATATCAACCCTTCTTTCTTTAGTTTCGAGAAGCAAGGTGTGTTATCAATTGGTTTGTCGTTACTTTTTTGCAAACGGCTTAACACGCAACAAAAATATATATGTTTATGACCGTAAAAAAATCGTCGTTTTGGGGGTCACTGTAGTGTGGTCATCTTGGTGTTACTGTTACTGACAAAAACTGTAAGCTGTGTGGGGTTGTTATTCGAAAATATTTATGCCTTTCCTGAATTATAAAATTATGTACAAGTACTAGACCTGGTGTTTTACCCAGCATAAATTTTGGCTGTAGATTATGCCTAAATGAAATCACTCCTAACCAAATAATTTTGGAATGGGGCCACCATCCTGGTGTGAGTGGATCAAAGCTTTCAGTCCAGTCTTGTGTAACTTGTAATTACTGTACTTGACACCTGAAGGCAGTTTACTGGTTATGGGAAACAAACAAACAAACAAAGACTACCTCACAATAATAATGTTGTTGTTGTCATTGTCCTTATAAGTTATATCTCGCTAAACATGGTCTCTAGGTACTGGTTTTGCTTGGTTCAGTTCAGAGTCAATTGTCTCTCTAGGTATTTAACTCTTGGTGCCTTGTGCTTGTGTGATGCTAAAAGAGTCTTTAGGAGAGCACGTCAAATCAATAACCCCTTGTGATCAGCTATGTTTGATTGAAATTTTGAATTTGGGGATTTTCTTTATGTGCAGTGTGGACAACAGTGAGTACATGAGAAATGGAGACTTCATCCCGACCCGGATCCAGGCACTTGTGGATGCCGTCAACATGGTGTGTCACAGCAAGTCCCGCTCCAACCCTGAGAACAACGTGGGGCTCATGACCATGGCTGGCAGGTAACGTCTTGGACACTGGACTCGTATACATTGATTGTACCTTTTTGCACCCAAAATTGGAGTTACGCCCCTAATTATTAACTTAGGTGCATGGATATGCCAGGATATTCGTGTAGTTTACATACAGGTTTCTTTTCTACCAATACATGTAGTACTATTGTACACTTACTTGCTTATACTTGACAGCTAAGTGCAAATTGTAAAACCTTTGTTTGTGTCACTTGTTTACTAAAAAAGTTAGCTATAGAATTTGGGTTCATGACAGTGATCACAGTTTTTTCAAACTGTAGAACTATGTCAGGTTTTGCTGACACTCTTGTTCTGTGCACCTAAATTTTAGGTTAAAATTTCAGCCCTGACATGCATTATAGATTGCAAGTAGATACACCGTGGGAGAAATTGATACCTGTACAAAATTAACTTTAATCCTTTGTTCCATAGTTGTTTTTGAAATGATCACGAAAAATGGGAAATAAAATGATGTGATATGTATCAAAGTTTATCAGTCCATTATATTTTAAGATGTCTATTTTTTTGTAGATGTGAGGTCCTGGTCACACTGACCAGTGACGTAGGAAAGATCTTGACCAAGATGCACGCTGTCCAGCCCAAGGGAAACATTCATCTCATGACAGGGATCAGAGTGGCCCATGTAAGTATACTCTAAATACTAGTAGGTGGATAGTAGCCACTGGTACTTCTACATTTACAGTAACTTGTTTGGCAACTTCCCAGATTCCACCAACAGAAGAGTTCGCTGTCCTTAGGCTACATCCATTTCAGGGTTCTCCCCAGGATTTGAGAGTACCCCGGAGGAGGTAGGTCTGGGGGAGGTCTAGGTAGGAGGGGGGGAGGTCTGGAGGGGGGAAGCTGAAGCATTTTTCTTTATCTAAATACAAATGGAAGCCATTTCCTGCAACTTCAGGTTTTGAACTGCCAGAAAAAAATGTTAACATTCAGGAAAAAATTGGGCATAGGTTCCACGCTCTGACCCCTAACCGGGGGCCAACGGTGCCTACAAGTTCGACAATTGAAACAGAATATGACATTAAGTCATACATTTTCCACTTGGAACTTGAGGCAAGCAATTATGGGAAAATGTAGAGAACCTGGGACAAAACCTTCTTATCCTAATGCTCATCCTTATGTTATCACCAACTTGTAAACAAGTCCCTTATAATTATCAAAGTACCATCAAAAGTACCATCAAAACAAAATTTCACTTCTCTAACATTAAAAATCGGTCCCATGTTTAGGACTACACATTCAAGAAAATACTTTTGAATTAAAAAAAAGAAAAAAAGAAATCTGAAGAAAAAAATATTAATCTGCACAACATTTTATTGGTTTCTATCCCTTTGCTTGTCTACAAGTCGATAATGTGATTGTATCAATTTTCAAACGCCCTAAAATTAGCTAAATCGGCGAATTAAGGTGATTGCGCAATGGACGTGCCCTATGACCTTCGACCTTTTGGGGGTCATGCAGGCGTCAACAGCGCCCTCCCCATGCCTTGTCCGTCCGTTTTCGTCGGCAAATTTCTGCTTTTTTAGAGGTTTTGAGACCTTAAAACTCACACCATGGGAGAAATAAACCACATACATTATTTTTATGGTAAATATCGCTAAAATGGACCATGCATTTTTTTGTCGCGTTGCCGATTTTTGGCAGAAGCCTTGCGGCGCGGCCGCCATGTGCTACGCCGATAGCTACAGGCCGTCCCCCGTCCGGGTTTGTGGGCAAAATTCTGCTTTTTTTTAACGTTTCGGGACTTAAAAACCGACAGCAGGGGAAAAATAAATCGTATACGTTATTTTCATGGGAAATACCTCTATCATGAACCAGACATTTTCTGTCGCGTTAACGAATTTCGCGGCCGCCACATGCTTCATAATGTCGCGGTACGGTAGGGAATTGTCTACGGTTTATAAGTTCGTAAACGTATCGGCTTTTATTTTTAAACTTATTATCAGGGTCGAGGGCTTTGGTTTACAAAGAAATCAGACAATTAGCTTTCTTTACACGACTTCAAAACGCTAGCGGGGCGCCCGATGTTCCACCAATGACAGCGATTCTCTCAGTAGCGTCGTGCGAAATACTCATTGTTTACTCGATTATCGCCCCATTCACAAGTTTTCAGAGACAATGCCGGCGGGAAAATAGACGCTACTAAGCCCCGAAATCAGGAAATTTTCTCGAATTTTATTTTATTTAATTTTAGCGAAATTTTGTAGAAACATCGGGATGCAACACCCTAAATTTGGAAAGCAGTATACTGGCGCTGAGCTGGGAGTAGCCTGGCGCAGCGCCCCTGTTCCATCGTCTGGGGAGAACCCTGCATTTATTTTCTTGGTTCTTCGATTTGCCTGTTTCCTTCAGAGTTGCAAAAACAAACCTTTCTCCTTCAGCTTGCTCTAAAGCACAGACAAGGGAAGAACCACAAGATGCGGATTGTGGTGTTCATCGGCAGCCCCATAGAGACAGACGACAAGGACCTGATAAAACAAGCCAAGAGACTGAAGAAGGAGAAGGTTTCTGTAGACATCATCAGCTTTGGAGAGGAGGTGAGTTGGTCCTCTTTTGCATTCACTTTTCATGTGAGTTATACAATGTAAGTGATGATATGTGTATAGATCATACCTAAAGATATACGGATTTAGGTACAGCCTAAACCTGTGACCTGTACCTAAAGAATTTGGCCAATCACCTGTAAGTTACACTTGTATATGAATACTATTTTCTTGATTACAGGAAGTTAACAATGACAAGCTGACGTCCTTTATCAACACACTGAATGGTAAGGAGGGCACCAGCTCCCACCTGGTGACGGTCCCACCTGGCCCCTCCCTGTCCGACGCCCTGCTCAGCTCACCTGTCATCGCTGGGGAGGGCGGGGCACCCATGGGGGCGCTCGGCTCCGAAGGAAACTTTGACTTTGGAGTGGACGCTAACGCAGATCCTGAATTAGCTTTGGTAGGTGGCTGTGATGTCATCAAAGTTTATGGAAGGTGCTTCTCTGGACAAAGACTTTTGACTGAAGTGTTTGTTACCTCCGGGTACGGAAGTATTGTTTTGGGTGGGTTTGTCTGTGGGTTTGTGTGTATTCTTGTCTAGAAAGAGTAGCTGACAACACGTGGGTGGGGGAAGATTGACTGGCAAAATTATAGGCAGTAAAGTGATAGGCTGTCAAATGACAGAAAATAGAGTTAACTTGAGAGTAGGTAGACAGTATGTGGGCGGGGGAAGATGAAATCTCTGATTTCTTGTTTTAATATTGATGTTTTTGACCACCAGGCCCTGCGAGTGTCCATGGAAGAGCAGCGTGCTCGGCAAGAGGAGGAGGCCCGGAAAGCGACCAGTGAATCGGCGACCGAGACAGGGGTGACGCCCGCCTCCACGGTTACGGAGGCCGACAGCGAGGAGGCCATGTTGGAACGCGCCCTGGCCATGTCCATGGAGCGCGGGGAGATGGCGGATGACACGCCAATGCCAACTGTAGACTTCGACAACATGACAGAAGAGGAACAGATCGCCTATGCCATGCAGATGTCCCTGCAAAGTGTGCAGACACCAGGTAAGGGCTTAGTCATTTTGGCAACACCTCGGGGGCAGATCCGTTAGTATAGTGTTGCTATTGAATTCAGCAAATTTTTTTCAAGTGTCCTGTACCACTCATGTGTTATTGATGATTGGGAAATGTTTTGATATGGTATTACCTGAATTTCTTGTTGGAAACACTGCAAGTTGTTCTCCAAAGGTCACTTTTCAAGCGTGCCATCCTTCCTATACCACAGAGCTATCAAATTTGGCAAACCCTCCAAGTGAGGCGGAGACAGACACTCCTGTTGCCATGGAGACAGAGTCGGCATCAGCACAGGTGAGCTTCTTGCCTTTTTCTTTGTTTTATACTGCAGGTGAAATAGTTGCTGCCAACTGAATTTGCTGAAGTGATGCCTACTTTTTTGGGGTTTACTTCTTTACTAAACCTTGTACCTGAAATTTGTTTAGATACACAGGTCTAGTTATCTTGAATTTGATGCATATTGACTATCTTTTTATTCTCCCACCCACCGTTGCAGGCTGATGAGGAGGATGACTATGATGACGTGATGAGAGACCCCGCCTTCCTGCAGTCTGTCCTGGAGAACCTCCCCGGTGTCGACCCCAACTCTGAAGCCATCCGCACGGCGGTGGACTCACTACGACAGCAGGCTAAGGATGACGACAAGAAGGACGACAAAGACAAGAAGGGGAAGAAGTGATGACGTTGCCATATAGGCTAGGATGTGGTCTGGAACATAGGCTTTTCCTCAGGCAGATTTTGTAGTACCGTAAATGGTAGACAGTCACTCATAATGGTCAAGTAACTTACAGGAACAGTCAAAACTGACCAAGAAGATTACTCAGGGGGACTGATAAAATCTGGTCCATGTGGACAGGCGGTCACTACAGACAGGCTTGTTAATGCTGGTGTCAATGGGAAAAATGACCACCAAAAAGTGGTCACTTAGGCCAGGTGGTCCTTTTGTATGGGTGGTCACTTGTACAGGTTTGACTGTAGTTCCTGCCTTTTATGGTTTAAGCTCACCTCCTAATGTCCATTTCTTGGGGACTAGTGCAAGGCTATTGTTTTCCAGATTCACAACAATACTATCATTACCAGTATGTCCAGTATCTGATGGCACACACATAAATTGCTGCACAATGAAACATTACAAGGTTAGATGGAAATGAATTCTTTATTTTGGCTGCTTAGTGATGGTAAAGGATGTTTATGTCACCATACAAACATCTCATGTGATCCCATGTGACAAATTTCATGCTGGATTGAAAAAACACAATAAAAAACAAGATTTACCTTTTAAGTATTACCTTTCATTTGTGCTTTCAACTGGATATACATGTATGTGACACTATTTCAGCAGAGACAATTATAAAGATGACTTGAGAACAAAACCTTTTCTACAGTGTCTTTATTTTACACATACCAGATATGTATGTTACACCTACGAAGGTACTGGCTTCACTATCACTGACTTTGTTAACTATAGCATGAAAGATATTTACATCTGTCCATAAAGCACAAATAACCATGTCTCAAGCAAAGGAAATTTCAAGGGCTTTGTAGTAGTGTCCAGTGGTTAGTGACCTAGCCTCAAGACCTTGGAGTTTGAATCCTGGCTGTTGTCACTCACCTGACATGCATGCTACTGAAATTGTTTGCAGTCCTTAGGATGTTAAGCTGTGGTCCACTGTTCATTGTACTTGTCCAAGAGAGCAAAGGCAATTTCCCCTGTACAACGAACCTGTACTGTAACTACTGTACATAGTGTTTGTCTTCTCAGTGTCATGACCAGTGGTAGAGCAGCTCTGGAGGGAGCAAAACAGGTTTGAGATCACAGTATCATATCAGTATGTCCTGGTCATATTCATGATGGAAGCATATTCTACAGATCACATGGAAAATATATGAAGTACAGTATGTACACTTGGCAATTGAACTTCCTGATAAAGGATTTTTTAATTTGCTCTTATAAACATGTATGAGACTTTTACACAATCTAGTATCTCAATCATTCACAACTGGCAATACACCACTGAGGCATCAAAGTATACAATTGCTAGCAGACATTTAGATATTGATAATCAATTATACATATAATGTCTAAAATCAAATTATACATGACATAAGCTCTGGTTCTAAGACCAATAAACAACTGAAATTACAAAGTACTAATTACATGTAATGATTGTTTTAGAATGCATATGTGTTCTAGATTTTTTAACTGATATAACAGTTGTACAATGCTGTCATTGGGTTAAATATGGCACTAAGAAACCAATAGGCACAGATAACCTTAGTAGTGTTCCCCATAGTATCAAATCTTCAATGTTGAGAAGATTCCGTTGTCGAAACTGGGCATTAAAGGCTCTTGATTACTTGCATATGGCCTTGGACAACGTCATGCATTGTTTGAAGGTTTTGAACGGTTTGATTTCATCTGTCTGTGACGGGTCACCTGGACCCTGACGATTTTCTCAGCTCAGTGGCAAGAAGCCTGGCTCTGTTGTAGAACTCCAGTGACAGCTCCTTGTCGTTGAGATGGGTGTGATAGATCTTGGCCAACTGCGTCAGGACGTACATCTCCTTTGCCCTGAACCCGCCGTGCATGGCAAGTCCGAGCGCCATCTCGTAGTAGGTGGCAGAATCTTTGGCGTCCTTCATGTGATTCAAAGTGATGTCCGCGAGGGTAGAGAACAGGTTCAGGTAAAATCTACAGCCCACGTCTTCCACGAACACCCCGTGTGTGAGCGAGAGAGCCTGAAGGAAGTAGTGCTCGGCAAGCTCGTACTGTTCCTGGCACAAGTGGAGGCGAGCCAGGCGGAGGCAGGCCACGCGCTCGCAGAGAGGGTTGTGTGCTTCTGCGCTAAGCCGCCAGGCGCGATTTGCGTGAGTGGTGGCATCATCGTATCTATTGACTTTGTACATGAGATGGGTCAACCAATTGTGAGCTAGAATTTCCTTGCTATTGTCTCCAGTCTTCTCGGCCAAAGGAAGGACTGTGTGTTGGAAGAAGTCTACAGCTCTGTTAAGCTCATTCATATCGTAGGCGTAGAGCTTCCCCAGTGCTTGGGAAACGGTCCATTGTTCGTCCAAATCTCCAATGTCCGTCGCTATGATGTTCGCCTTCTGGTAGTACATGTCTGCCAGTTCAAACGACTCCATACTGCTGTAGATGTCGCCGGTTGCCTTCCACGTCCTGGCTTCGTTTTTCTTGTCGTCCAAGTCTATGAATATGCCGAGGCTATCCTTGGTGTGGCTGAGTGCCGCCTGGTGGTTACCCGCCTTGAGGTGCATCTCCCCCAATCTTGCCCGGAGTACCCCCTCTACGGACCTCTCCTTCAGCTCTACTGCCAGAGGTAGCGCGAACTGGAAGTACTTGGGCGCCTGGTCTTCCTGCCCGTCGTTGAGATCTCCCTGGCAAGTTCCCAGGAAGTTGGCCAGGTGCATCTGACCACGCTTGTCGCTGTTCCACATGGCTACGGCCAGTGCCATCTCGTAGTAACACTTCGCTGCCGGTTTGTTGTCCAAATGGAAGAGGTAGATGTTTCCCAGTGCAGCGTAAATGTCTGCGTAACAGTTGAAAGCAAGCCTTTCACCTTCGGTCGGTACCTCGATCAGGAGGGCTTTACGTAAACACTTCTCTGCGATGTAGTAGTTCTTCCAATCTTTGTACAGGCTGGCTATGTTGGCGTACGATATGAGTTCATTGATTTTGTTGTTGGTCCTCAGACTGAGTAGCAGTGCTCTCTTAAGATATCCCTCTGCTTGTTTGTAGTAGCCCTGCCACTGCAAGACTAGCCCGAGCTTGTTGCACACGATGCCTCCTCCGAGTTCGGATTTAGTTTGGTTTGCCAGGGACAGTGCTTCCTCTAGTTTCGATGTTGCCGTCTTGCCCTCGTGGCACCTCTCTTGGTAGAAAGACCCCGCGACGGTCAACAGTTCGAGACGCTCGGTAACCATTCCCAGATCCTGGCTGAGTGAGATGGCCTCCTCTAGGTGCTGTACGGCGGCAGCGACGTCGTTCTTCCCTCCGTTCACAGCAAAGAGGCCGGTGTGGGCCTCAAACTGCAATGAGCGGTTTTCCGAACCGGCCGTCAGATCAAGTATCCGCTGGAAGTATTTCCTGGTTTCGCTGGGAACTACCTTTCTGTCTGCATCATCCTGCGTGCTGCTACTGGCCCCCTTGATGCACAGGTCGGCGAGCTTCAGGTACAAGGTGGGATTGGCTGTTTCGTACTCCAGGACTATTTTAAGACACAGGGAGGCGGAGCACCATTTCCCGTCTTGGGCGTACAGCGTATGGAGTGTGTAGAAGTCCCCCAGTGTAGGTCTCTCTTCTGCCTTATTGATGAGCAGGGCACGTTCTGCGCACATCGTGCTCCAGCGCAGGGCGTTAGCCTGGCCGTACAGACGGAAAAGCTGTCGACACATTTTGTTCTCGGTCTTGGTATCGTTAGCGAGAATGGCCTTGAACATGTAATACTCATACAGAGGTATTACGACTTTGACATCTTCAGGAAGCATGTCATCTGATTTGCCGGGAACGATGTGATTTAGCAGCGACAGCGCCTTTTCCATAGAAACGTTCCGCCCGTCGAAGTCACCAATTTCAGCGCACAGGCTTCCCACTTCACAATGCAGCCTAGCCACCAAGGCCTTATCCATGCCCTTTGTGTCAAATTGATATGTTATAGCTGCGAGGAAATGGTCTTTTGCTTTAGTAAAGTCTCCCTTTTGTTTACTAATCTGGGCCAAAAATATTTCGGCCGCCGCCTGAGTTTTAGGGTCCTCGAGTTTGGCACCGATCTCCTGCAGTTTCTTGGCACACTGAGCAGATTCGGCAAGGCTGTCCTCTCCGTCTTCGCGAATTAAGACGTGGAGAAGCTTGTTGAGGTTGTCCGAAACCGCCTTGAGGTCTTCGTTTTCCTCGGCAGACTTGAGGATGCTCCTGAGGTAGTGGATGTTCTCCTTGTCTCCCTCGGAAGCGGTGGAGGGCCCGTTATCTTCAGCTGCACTTTCCTCGTTGTTTTCTTCTTCTGGAGATCCTAGACATTAACAAACAAACATGGTAAGATAGGAAAATTGAAAGCTACGTAACTAGGTGATGCGGGGAGAGGGCGACCGTGACCAATACGGACTTATCCTACAGCCCCATGCACATAGAAATTCAAAATAAAAGAATATTTGCCAGGCATGCAGCCACTCTTTCATTAGTCGAAACGCTAATCATCGATCGTGCTATCATTGAACTGCTAACTGTGATGGACAGTTAGGATTGGTCTATAGCGATACATGGACCTTCACAAAAACAATTTGTGATGGTTCTGTGCAATTCCAGTTCATTAAGTGTGTAGCACACTCTTAAAATTGTAACTGCTTACCTGTTGCTCCCGTTTGCGAGTGACCAGCATTCGCTGCGGGAGTCAAGATGGCGGTAGTCCCAGACCTAATCTCTCCGCCATCTTTGTTCTCCTGACCAACCGCAAGGTCATCCAAACTTGACCTTCTGCTGTCGCCTAAAACACGAGTAGATTGTTAAACAATCTGTAGACTGGTTACCAAACTGTAATTGAAATTAATATAACACAGAAAGGTAGTTTGATGACAGATAGATACTGCAGACAGTAACATGCAAATAGACTTACTTCTTGTTGTCTCTCTGGACGTCAAAGCTTTGAGCGAAGCCACCGCGGCGTCTGCACAACTTTTAAGTCCTGTATGTAAAAGAAATATCCATATTCATGTTGCATTTTTACACGAAAAATATTTGACAGTTCACAAAATATTTGACAGTTCACTGAAAGAATTTCATAGACAATGGACGATTTTTAGATGTTTTGTGTACTCTGATTTAAGGGTCACGCAAATCGAATTTTGGTTTTGTCGTCTGGAGGAAAGGGGCCATAATGTCGTACCTCTGTCATAATGTGTCTGTCGATACCGGTCCAGCACAGCTCGGCTGACGGCTCCTATGGAGTGGGTACCGCCGTTGTTACCGCTTGCCAGTGACCCGAATGGATCCGCTTTCTCCAAAGCTGGGGATGTCGGGTCGACAGCACTACAGTATTCAGGGAGACACACAGTATTATAACGAAGTACATTGTAATTGAAAGCCAAGAAAGACGGAGATGTCAGACCGTCGGTAAGTGGGGCTTCGTGAATGTATTGGTACCGTGAAGAATGAAGAACGATACATGTATGATGTAATTTAATCTAGTATAACACCACTCCTGAATTCTTCCACACACTTACCGCAAAAAGAAAGGTGCACTAGTCTTGAATCTAACAGTAAAACTATTTTCATTGAAGTGAATATATATGTTCGTAATGACATTGCTAGACTTTAAGCATACGTTTCTATGAATGCTAAATAGCACGATGGTTGTAACAGAGTACAATAAGGAGTTTATATATCTATAGAGCTAGAGAACTCACTCTGCCTCCTCCAGCTTCAGGCAGGATCTCGGAAGGAATCCCTGTTTGGAGTCCTCCAGACACCGCACCAGGCACCAGTCGATAAGCGGGCCAGGTCTGTCTTCCACCGCGACGGCCACTCGTGTGCCACTCGGTACGCTGATCTCATCACCAGCCGTAGCCTCGAAGTCTTCTTCAACCACATAGGTTCCTGTAGGATACATAGAAAATGACAATTAGTAGTAGTTCAACCAATAACAGAATGGCAATTAGCGATTCGACCAATAAGAGAGTGTCTGCATGATCGTCAAATACATGTACTTACATCTAGCTATGCCTCATTTCGCATTTATACGCTTTAATGCTGGCCGCCGGCGGGGCTCCTCAGTTATTGATGTGTATAACTGTATTGCATTACTGGTTCACACGATGCATCTTTCTGACTTAAATATATTGCCAGTACAAAAACATCATTTTTATATAAATCTAAAAGAACACGACGAGAAGCCATTTCTATAGCAAGTCGGTTGGCATCTGACGATTGGAGATCAAATGCCCTACCTGGGACCATGGCGTGGAGATTCTCAGCGTTGACGACTGGAACGGATTCCGGCTCTCTTCTCTTCTCCGTACATCTCTTGAGCATGTCACTGTAATAATGATGATAAAACGATGAGGAAACATCGATCGAAACACTGAAAGGAATCTCAAAACGGACAGAATGTTTGTATGTGTTTCATGTGTTAACATGGTAACAAAACTACGATCGTACGAACAAGAAGTCGAACATTTCAAACTGCCGGGAACTATTGGTTGTTTTCGTGACCTTTATGGTCACAGAATTTCGAGTGTTTTGGGTTTTCGTACATATGTTGTGGAGCAGATTACATGATGTAATTTAATTGGGTTTTACACCACTTAAAGCTTCCTGAATTCCTCCACATACAACCCACTTACTCTTAAGCAGCGTGTGCTGGGCAGCCAACTGTTAAAGCCACCTCCCACTCACCATGAAACCGAAGGTATTAGTCAGAGATATACACATAAACCCACAACTCAGTCACCCAAAACTATCCTTCCGTACCCGAAAGTAACTAGTCTACAAGATAAACATAAAGCTTACTCTTGAAACGGTCCGACGTGAGCTACGTTTTCTCGCAAGATCGATCCGGTCCGCTCGCCCCCTAGCGACTCCACCTTGAGCTGCGCTACATCGTCAGCCTGCACCACCCGCAGAACCTCCCCTGGTCTGGTCTGGATGTCCTCCTGAGAACTCAGTCCGCTTTTATCGTCTTTCACCCGCACAAAATAGTCACCTGCAAACAATTCATTATTTTCCAAATGTTAAATTGTAGAGAGAGAAAAGAAAGTGTTTGTCCGTGCGCATAAGGAGCATAGGATCAATGCACTGATAACGAAAACATCTTCTAATGCTTCAAATTTATGATATTTGTGTTCCCATCAAGTCATAGGCAAATAAAAGATTTCACACTTCCAGGGGATATAGACCCCCATGTCGACCAATGATTCCCGTTGGCTCCCGGGCCCCGGGCAAGATTCTGAGAACTTCACGTTCCCCCCCATTTTCTGAGCTCCTGTCCTGTCCTATTGAGCTGTCATTCTGCCTGCCTCACCCACGTGCTGTCAACCTACTCTATCCAGACAAACAAATGCATGTACCTTCTGATAAGGTTTCAAACACAGGAAGGTAGTCCTCTTCCTCGACGTCAACTCGCATGCGCAGATCCTCCATGCCGACGTTGGACCTCATTGGTGACGTCAGCACCGTTTCTATCAGCGGTTCCAGCAGACCCAGGGCGCTGTGCGTCCAGAGCGCATGCGCGTTCTCCAGCGTGCCGAATCTGAGTTTGAGACTTGTGGTGTTGGCGTCAGTCCTGACCAGAGACACGGAGATGAGCTGAAACACTCCGGACAGACGCTTGGACACGTCCTCGTTCAACAGCCTGTCCTTTAACTCCTTGTAGACTGACACCGGGGGCATCTCACCACTGTCCAAGTACGGCCGCAGCTTGGCCGTTATTTCTGGTGGAAAATATCAACACAGTTGGTTTGGTTTCATACAACCGGTAAACCGCCTTGAGGCGTAACACAGGAGTTATTTTTTGCGTAAGTGCAAGGCGTAAGTGCAAAGTACCAGACTGTAAGTTCGATCTACTCATTCTGGGAAGGACCGCCGCTGACTTTTATATGTGAGGTGTCATTCAGTCCATCCGAGGACGTCCCTAACCTAGGTACTCATTTTCACCGGTGTCTAGTGAAGAAATAGATGTGAAATTCCTTTCCCAGGGACACAATTTTGGGACCTGCTAAGGTTTTGAACCCAGAACCTTAAGTCAACAACGTTAACCCTAACCACTGTGAAGGCCTTTGCCACCCAAGGTGCATTCCAAATGGCTGGACTAGCTACTGCTGGATTGATTTACGTTTTTTTCTTACTTCCCTATCATATGTGTACAGATATTTTTTACCTCAATTGCACCACGGCTTTTGTTATCTCGATGTGTCTAATGTATTACACAAATAAATTATTCATACCGACCTCTCAAACAGGAACATAACTCATCATAGGTAAACAACGTAAGTACGTAGCGAGACAGCCACTAGTAGTAGTACATGCGTACATTCAGATAAAAACGGCATACATTGTTTAACGTATATGTCTTTAAACGGCTAGTGTATGTATTGGTTACAACTTGTGTTCAGCTCAAGCATCTTACTCAAAAGCACCACCACGCGAGCATTTGAAGAACAGCACCAGGCAATAAAAACTAAAATGTGACACCCAAGCTTCTCGCAAGGCCTTGCACATAAAATCGGTAAAGAATGAGATACCTTTGACTCGAGCAGGTTTCCCGCCTTCGGTACTCTTGTTCTTTGACAGCATTCCTGGGGGAACATACAGGTATGTGAGTTTCCGGCGGACAAAGTTGGAGTGGCCGTGTGTGGACACCATGTTTACTACATGTACACCCTCGGTTCACGAACATCAGTAATGACGGACGTTCATTTATTATTCAACACCACGTGACGACACGGAATGAAGCTCTATCTTAGGGGCAGGTCACATTCGTCATAGGATCGTCACACGATCGCAAACGTATTCCTGATAGCCGTGCACATGCACAATATTGAAGCTATCTTGTTACGGAAAGTGCCAGGGAAAGTGCCGTAGATCCTTTATTATTGTTAGAATGTCAATGTATTAGGCTGGACGAGTATCTAACGATGTTCTGGACGATGTTCCCGTCGCCGACCTAACCCCCCTACCCTACCCCCCTACCCTCCCTGCCCACCCCCTCACCCGGGTGGAAGGTGGCCGGCCTGCCCCCCTGTAGAGTGGCCTTCAGCGCCTGGATGTCCTCCACCGACAGCGGCTGTCCTGGCTTCAGACCAAGAGCTGAAACATAAGGCAGATTGTCACTTTTTTTCCTTCACAGACACTCATTTTACCACTTAGTTATCACAGATTTCACATGCTAAAACAGCAACATATGTTTATACTCATGAACATATTTAAACTCATGAAGATCCGTGACTCTCACGTCCAGATGAGATGATGATATCCACCCAGCCATTAACCGTATCGTTTATTTCGGTGACTTTCAGAGAGTTCCAATCCCCCTCTGTCCTGCTATACATTGTATATGACATACGTATTATATGAAACCTGTCCGTTCAAAAGGTAACAACGATTCTTCTTCTATCATTCCCTCCAGAATTCCTCTCATACACAAACTTCAGCACAATATTTTATTGCATCTGTTCAAAGATGGAGTGCTTTTTACGGTTCTTCGATCGATCGTACATACAGCGTTACAGCTATACTCGCACCTCAGACTAAACCAAAAAACGTTCTCAACTTGGATATCGATACTAGTATTTCATCAGTTTTAACTTACCCTCGCCTGGATGGGCTCCCAAGTGAAAACTTTTCGGTCTGTTGTCGCGCATGCGCATCTTCTTATCCTGGATGTCGTCAGTGGTGGCTGCCGCCATTTTGGATCCTGAGAGCGGGAGGAAACATGTTTTGTGTTGTTAGCCCACGATCCGTGGGAACTACATAACTTATGGTTGGAACATGGTGAACAGGTAGGATAAACATGATACATTTAATGTGCGTCTGTCTGTTTGCTTGTTTATTCGTAGCAATTGAATGCAATGGACCTGGAACTGAGGGGGAAATGATGTAACCGCAGACTGACAGGAATGTCTCGAGCTCCTACTGAAGGCCAAAATGTGACGTCTTCCGCAGGATGGGTGGATGTGACAATCAGCGAGAAATTAATGATTAAGACAAAGTTTTGCAAGATCGCGGTGGGAAATTTTCGATTTCTTGTTACACGTGCACAGGTAGTTGCCCTTTCTCCCCCGAATTTTCCGGAATGGACGATGGGCGCCGCGGTTACAGTTACTTTTGCATTTAATGAGTTTGAGAAGTGTTTATAGAGACATTCTACCATCTCGTGCCGGCCCGTACACGTGACACGCGGTGGGGTACTGAGGAGCGCTGCTCGTGGGCGGCATGTGTGTGGGAGTTACCGACCTCTCACTCGACCTGGTCTGACCTGTTTTTCTATATCCTTATCTTTATAGTTTGACAATGTTCCAAAACTACTCCTTTTTCAATGTGATTGTGGTGAATGACTGTGTAGGCCCTCCAGGTACCAATGCTCAGACGCCCTATCGGGTATAATTTTACGTTGATCTGTTTGCTAAAAAAGAGAAGACCAACGGCGATGCAGTACCACAGACCATCGCTAGGCATCAGAAGCAACCATACACAAGTATCAATATGTCGAAAGACAGGAAGCACGACAAAAGTCACACTGCTCGAGACTTGTTCCGTGTTACGTACCCTAGCTACACAGCAATAGTCAACCTGAAGATATCATTCGGACAAGCTGGCACTGTACCAAAATCGTAGTCTCTACCAGACTCCAACAACGGTTGATGGAAAATAGTACCTTTGACCAAATACACTGAAGAGTTAGCCAGCCACAGTAGTACATTTTGCTACCCACGGATTTACAAATTGGGTTGCAAAGCGCACACCTATTGCTGGTTATTTAGCCAAATCGACTATTTTTCAGCAGCCCTTTGAAGTCCAAAATCGTCTCTATCTCACAGCTGATATCAGTAGTTTATGATTTTACAGCCCTTCATTCGACAAAGAATACATGGCTAGATCTAAATTTCCTCGCCAAGAAATGGAGATATATATATATAATGTTGGCACATTATGTAGAACGGTCCGCCCTGTACATTACAACAACACAAATACATCATTACGCTATCAGCGCCCATCATGGCTGATAACACTGGTACAAAAGTCCAACAGTCAAGCGGATGGGTCATACATGTGATTGGCATGTCTTTGTGTGCGACCTGGGTTGTCACATAGCATACCAACGGAGATCTCAAACACAGAGACCTGCGTTGTTGTTGTTGTATTACATGTTTGTACAAGGTGCCATTAGCTATATGTGTTCTCGGTCAGGTCAAGTTCACGTTGCGTCAGAGAAATGGAATGTAATGGTGTTTGGAACTATTCTAGGTTTGTCGTTAGATTCATCACTTTAGGGTTATCGCCCAAGTGCAGGTTGCGTCATCAACATTTTTATGTGTCTTGGTCGTGTCCACGAACCGAATATCTATACAATAATTAATGTTCTTGAATACTCATGTTCTTGGGGAGTTTTCTTTTGAGGGGTCTCAAAAAGGTTCATTCATTGCAATGTCCCTTTACTAGCCCTCGAAAACAGGATCTTGCAATCAACTTTCTCCTACAACCTAGATGACCTGGTATACACAGGAATTCCTGCCTTACAGTTCGTCCTACTCCGTTCGTCCCATGACTCGTCTCAGACGGTCCAGTTCCCCGCTTCTTAGAATCATAATATTTGGCGCATTGCCGTCTTTCAGAGGCTTTGAAGCCCAGCAAAAAATTCCACGGCAAAGTCTGGTAGGCAATCTCACGCCTCCGGCTAAAGTTCTAGGTTTGTTGACTACATGCTTGTGCAAACAGACTTCGGCGTTATGGCCTGATTTCGCGTACGTGACCGTACTAGTAATGAAGGTTCAAACAGAAAATATATTATTGAAAATGTAGGACGGGTAGGCATAAAGACTAAAGCATATACAATATTCAGCATAAGTTCTGCTGCAGTACCATGGAAAGTCGCCAGGAGACCTGTAAGCAATATTGACCATTGCCGTCCCAAAACCTACCCGGATACAAAATAACATCACAATCCATCCAGAGGTTCTCGAGCTATTGCGACAAACAGCCTGAAAACACGAACCCACGGAGTTCCGTTGACGGAGGGAGGTACCAGATGTGAACAAGGGTAGACATGGAAGGGAAAACACTAGTATTGAATGTCATTTTCAACATCCAGGGTAAATGTATCTAATGAACACCTCCCCCCATGTGACATTCACGCCCCCTGTAAACACTGCTTCTCTTGTGCTTGACACAGGGAGTACGTGATGTCTGCTACCTAATAGCTGTGTCTAAGCAAACACGGTGAATTACCAAGCATAGCAAGTTTGGATCTTGTTTTTTGTTTACACGACACCCATCGGATATTTGACGAACTTTTCATCAGGACTGCTATTGAAATTTTAGGTGTACGTCATCTTTGTACTATTCTGACATTAGTGAGCCCCGTCACCTGTTGTTACTCTCCAAGCAGAGGTTAGGCTTGTTTTTTAAGACCTGTTATGCGTTTTGTATTGTTCTCTTCCTCTTCATCTTTTCTTTGGGTACCCTGTTCTGAACAAGCGTCACCTCTTCTCAAAGAGTACCATGTTGTCAAATACCAGAAAAATACACCCAGGACAACTATTATGTCCTTATATGGAAGGGACGTTTTCTTTGGCAGATGCAACTTTGTACACTATGACCGTACACGACCCTCTGGTCATTTAAGTCCGACGGGACATTCAAAACAACATCAGCGCACTGTCGGCGCACGGTCATGGCCTGTCAGACATTCACCCATAGTTATCCGATATTTCCTTCGGGCTGACAGGGAAGTAAGCCTAGCAGCCATACCATCGTAGGCTCCCCGGTATCTCTACGGTACTGGGAGTGTGGCCCGTCCGCCCAGGCCCGTTAGGCTGCACGCCGGGAGTTTTTACGGAGCACAGAGTCGGTTTTATAAACTTCGTGCACGATGGTCGACATTAATCAGGAAGGTCGGTGTTCCGGCTGGAAAGAGAGGGTGTCAGAAAAAGAGGCCCTATGTCCATAGGGTCGGTAAAACACGGGCCTGTAGAGGAGTGGTTTACCAGACTAGGCTATCAGGGAGTCCTCACTCACCACCATGCACCCGTCTGTCCTGTCTCTAGCGGACACTGACATGTAACATAAACTCATCAACAGAACTAGACTTGGATCCTGCAACAACATCAAGTCCATTACCGTGTTATGTGAAGTAAAACAGTTGGAAGGGGTCCCCGTGGTTGGCAGGGTTGCATAAGGACGCCGCTTGCCCGCAGGCAAAGGTTAGCTAACAGTAGACGGTTTGACTGTCATGAAGAGGTATCCCTGACAGGATAAGCAAAAAGAAGCTTACCCCTGAGCAACCCGTGTGTCTGGCTAGACGGAATATTGGCACAAACAACCCTGCTACAGAACATGTACGGGAGTGCAGAGCAAACCCTACAGAACATGATGCCCTACCTCTTCGTCGTCTTATTATGGAGGACGCCATCTTGGACCTGAGAGACCGCCGGAGGTCTGACAGAAGTGGGCGTGGGTCCCAACTGCGCGGTAAACTTTTCCTACGGGGCAACATTTGTTTGAAGTCAAAATATTAGACGGTAAATATTTGATGTTTGGCCACCGTGTGCTAAAGGTGCACGGGAGTCACTCATGCTGTCAGTGTACAGGGGGCGGGTCTACTCCCAGAGTGCACTACGATCTTTGAACTCGTCAAAACAGGTGCACGGCCCGTGTGAAATGTTCGAGAAACAACCTTGACTAAACAATTCTTTCTGCTTTTGTTATTCGTAGGCATATACATTTCTATTTTGGTAGGTGTGAAGCGATGTGTCTAGCGGTACCAGGCACTGTTTGTGTTTCTCCACAGAGCGACACGCGAATGTCAATGGCATTTCCACAGTCCTGGCAGTTTTTGGCAGGCTCTCTATCCCGCTACCAACACGGGGGGAAATTTCCATAATCTGACACCCGGACTGGGACGTGCGGACTCAACTGGCAAAACATGTTGACAGCCAGCACGGTCCGGAAATTTCCCAAGGGGGCGGAAATGTTCCTTGGAGGAGTCACTTAGGCGATTTTCTGGTCCAGCGGGGGGTCGTGAATAGCGTTCAACAGGTGGAAACGATATCAGAACTGGAATTTCCGTGCTCATGGACCGGTCCTGTCCGGTTCTCTGTGGTTTGTTCGCGCACGGTCACATTCGTCGTACGATTGTCGCACGATCATTAACTCAGGTATTATTGGATCAGTCGTGTATGTGGCATTTGACATCAGCCGTCCTCTTACCGAAATGGCTCATTGTCAGTGGTTCGGTCACGTCAACCAATTTCATACATAACGATCAAATGGTTTTACGTGTTTTGTTGTCATATTAATTGTGCTTTAAACATCATGTATCTTCATTCCAATTATGAAATCAAGGATCACCCAAATCCAATTTGGTCGTTCAACGATCGCCGTCTATAGTTGAAATGAGACCTTCTCTCGGTCTCCGTTTTGTCTGAACAAGGAGTTTTAATAAAGACCAGTGGTCATAACCAGCCTGCATCCAGTGCACTCTCTAAAGCTTCTTCTTCCTCCTCATTTTCTGCTTGGCCCCATTGATGGGATTAACAGCAGGTTGCGCATGTGTCAGGCTTTCTATATATATATATCGGACACAGAGAGACCTGTATGTGACCACAGGGCCAGGGTTCACCAGCGGCAGAGTTATCTCTGTCAAACCTGTTCAGGGTTGTAACTGCCTGTCAGACCTAGCGATCTTTCACACGAGCATTCGCCTGGCGATAGCGACTGCATGAAATATATAATGTCGATATCACTGGATGAAACACGACAAGGTAATTTCCCAACAGTGATATCTAATGTGGAGTTTTTCAAATGACGCGTGTTCATCGTTGTTATCACAGTTACTAGGTATTAATACACTTGCCCTCATCTGATTTTTCAGCCCGATTTATTATTATAATTTCCTTGTTCTGTAACGCTGTAACAAATGGTGTATAGAACATTTGATGACATGCCAAAATGAATAATGAGTGAATGGATGAATGGATTGATGGATGGATGGACGGATGAATGAATGAATGAATGAATGAATGAATGAATGAATGAATGAATGGCTGGCTGGATGGACGGATGGATGGATGGGTGGATGAATGACTGACTGAATGAATGGATGGATGGATGAATTGATGGATGGATGGATGGATGGATGGATGGATGGATGGGTGGTTGAATGGATGGACGGATGGACGGACGGGTGGATGGATGAATGGATGGATGATCATGGATGGTTGGATGGATGGATGGATGGATGGATGGATGGATGGATGGATGGGTGGGTGGTTGAATGGATGGACGGATGGACGGACGGGTGGATGGATGAATGGATGGATGATCATGGATGGTTGGATGGATGGATGGATGGATGGATGGATGGATGGATGGACGGACGGATGGATGGATGGATGGATGATCATGGATGGATGGATGGATGGTGCATACCCGATACGATACCACATGTACAATGTACAGACACTATGTTAGGAATGTTGACCTGAGCTGTTGTGCTTAGATAGCTGACGAGATACTCGTGAAACTCTCTCGTCAGATGGATCACGCCTTAATCAGAGGAAATGAGTGCAGAAGTTGCCGGAATCTGAACCATGTTGACAATGTAGACCAGAGCAGTGCGTGTTGCTCCACAACTTCCCGTCTCTCAGTAAAAACAGAGAAATCGAGTTAACCTTACAACATTCAGTACGTAACCCGACTGATGGAGACGGATGGATAAGTTCGCCCTGCGCGAAGATTTACCCGGAAGTCCTGCCATAGAGGGGCCAGCGCGGCCACGGAGGGGTCAACTTTGTGGGCTGCAGTTCAAGTTCAAGTTGTTGATTCAAGTTGACAGTCACTTGATAATGAATGGCCTCTGGCGTCATTGATTTAACTGTTTCCCTTCCTCTCTTCATCACACAGAAGATCAAACAACTGTTGGTAGGGATAGCTGCCAGGGAAAAAATCCAAAAACAAACCGAAACCACCATCTCTAAAATAACATTAAAAATCTTGTATCTAATATGTGTAGCCATAACATAATAACATAAAGATTCGTTCTTGTGTAATACATGTATGTGTCCAGTCAAGTCAAGGCTAGAGCACTCAGTTGCACATTGACTGCCATCAGGTGCTACTGTAATATTCTTCAACTTGTCCTCAGTTGACATGTGTAACTGTTATGTATTATAAAAAGGTGTTTCTGATGTTGTTCCTAACCTTTCTACTCCAGCCGAAAATAGGACAGTCTCATAATCTCGTAATCAACAATGTATGTGATTTTTACCCTTAAATCTGGTTATCATAAATGAAAATAGAGGCTCTAGATCTGTTTGTCGAGGGCCCAAGTTATCGCTACCACTCCATATTTGGAAACAGTTGGTTGTGTTATCCTCTCAGTGTTAGCCCTGTGTCGACGCCAAGGGCTTTTCCCAATTATAAGCTGAGTCAGAGAAAGACAAGTTTGGAAACCTCCTGTTTTGCCCCGCTCTCTGTTGCGGTCCTGTCAACTTGATCCGCCATCGTGTGAGATGGCTGCAGGCCAAGAGCGGAGAGCTGACAACTCCAACTGCTGGAAGACTGACAGATCACATGTCGATTTAAGAGAGATGTTTTCTTATTTCTTTTCTCCAAGACACCTGCAAGAATCAGGTCAAATCTACGGTGATAGATCCCTGCTATTTCACCCCCAGTGGTCTTGTTTTTTGGCGGAAACTCTTGCACGAAAACGTACTTGAACTTGGTATCGCGTGCAGGTCTTCGCGACAGTCGAATGTCAGGTGTAAAATATTGAGACATACGATTCTTGCTCCTCCCTATTTTTAGCTTGTTGCAAAATTCTTGCGGGTCGCAGGTATTTGTGTTGAGGCACGTTCTGAAAGACTTGCTGCTCCATCTACCGGCCGCCGTGTTATGGAGTCTAATGTAACGCAGATGGGGGGGACAGGTACTCCAAACCGCTGGATCTCATTTCGACGTTATGACCATATAAGGAAATGTCAAGTATACCGTTTTGAAAAAAGTCGTCTGCAGATGGTATCCTACGTCATCTTAAATAACGACTTCCTTCCTGGCGGGAAGGAACTGAATCATTTAGACGCAAATCCTTACCGAGCGACCTCCTACAGGACCTAGCGTTGTTGGGGCTCCTTGAAGACGTTTATTTGAATTGGCCCAAAACAGCGACCTTGGTCCTTTCACGGCGACATCCCTTGTTGGGTTGGAAACTGGTTCACATTCCTTGATGAGACGGGAAGAGTGATTTCCGGCAAACCTGGAGGAAGTTTGCCGCCACTTTCGCGTCAGGAGCCCGGTTTGTTGAGTCCGTCGTCCCTGGCAACTGTGAGGGCGCGCGGTCAGGGAGTTAGCTACACGGCTCGCACGCGCCCTGTAAATTCTGCAGTGTGATGAGGTCTTTTTACGAGAGTTTCTGTACAAGGTGAGGGTCGTCAGGGACGTTTAAACCTGCAGGTCGAATTCCTGTCGACACTGGAGTTTTAAAGGCTAAGTCCACTACTGTTAGAGTGTAACCATGTTAGTGTGTTACGTAGGAAGGCGGTTAGCCAGATACAGATACAATGTGGAATCTTTCATCAATATCATTGAAGCAATACCTTGATATCGGTTCCGCCATACTGTATACCAGGTGTATTTTGCCCTTCCTACAAATGACGTTATCATATGTTCAACGATTTAGTACCAAATCAGTTTACACCTGATGTTTACACAGGAATTGATGGGTAGCATTGTTATCTTTATTTCCTCAACTTTACAGCGAAAGCACAAAAAGTCATCAAGCCAGATGACGCAAAGCCACAAATGACGTGTCCCTGTTATTAACATCCTGCACAAGCTGCGTACTTCTTTATCTTGTTGATGACATAACACACAGCCACGCGGCCTGTACTCAGATCGTCAAATGTCGGTATATTTTCTCGAAATCATAACACCGCGAGTATGTGTATTGTACTACGTATTTATTTCCACTTAGAACACCGCGAAAACACCTTCTTGTCCCTCATATACCACGAATTATATCAAAACCAAGTACGTTTACAGTATTGGACTCGTGTTTTATGCAGTGCAGCCATTTTGCAGTATGCTGTGCGTCACCGTGTTTCTGACGAGTTCAATCTGCCTTATTCCAGATAAGGACGGAAAAGAAAAACGACTTCGGGGACACCTGGCCGGGTAAAGAGTACGTTTTATCCTAAGATAAAAAGGTCATATCAACGAGAAACGCATTGGTTTACTCTCGTCACTCGTTTATCAGTTCTTTGTTGAAGAGGTTTTTACTGACGTGTGCACATAAATCACGTGACGTAAGGACAGGTGCACATGGCACATTCTGGTCAGGTAGTCTTACATTCCCATGTCAAAGTCAGTAGACTGAGTTTTAGAACACACAAGCCACAGGTGTTTAGAGTTTAGACAAGGTTTATGAAGTACGGTGTGTTTAGAGTTTGGGTCTGTTTGCGTCCTAAACTTGTCGGAGTGTCGAACGACAATGACAATATCGAACGATGTGTCGTGAAATAGGTACGTCTCTACAGTCATCCTCTAGTATGTGACTCGAGTTAAATTGGAAAGGAAGAGGCAAGTCGGGCCGTTATCTCCTGGTACGGTATTTAGGTTGTCCCTAACCACTTCCACTTGGCACGAGTCGGGCAGAGAGGCGTGGTTCAAACCACAACATCAACATGTGCTTCCCGATTCAATCACAAAGTCACCTCGGGACAACCAATGGGAAGCCACCTCAGAAACAGTCACGGACCAATGGCGCGTACTTCCGGTCCGTAACTATCTTGTCTGAGGGAAAATATAAGGTTTGATTGAGTGGCATCTGACCCGGCATTCCCGCGCACATGTCAAAAACGTAAGGAGATTCCATGGCAAAGTTTCACTCACCTTTGTAACCTGGGGAGCGGCCCACGCATTCCCCGCCCTATAAAAACCAAGCCCGTTCGTCAGAAGCACCTTAGTTCTTCGCAAGACTTCAACCTGTCGAGAAGTGAGAGTCTTCCGTGTCTACGACGTCTTCGACCACCTCTACAACTTTCACCGCACTCTCTCTTCGAGTCTTCTGTAAGTACTGATGGTTTCCGTCTTGCATTTTTGTCTTCCCTCCTTTTTCCTCTTCCACTCTGAAATTCTTCTAACCATGACAATTCCACCCATTGCTTGTCCATGTTAGAAGAAGTAGTAGTTTTGTTGTGTTCGCTGTTTCGTGAACAATCCGTATTGCTAACGTTGCTTCTACCATTACTGGCTAAGTTTCATTCACAAGTCTTCCATAGTTACTAACATTATCTAAGGGAAGATGGATTGTTAGGCTCTGCGCCTTTAGATTTTCTCAGTAAGTTTTAAACATTTGTTCTCCCATGTAGCATCACCATGTGACAGGGTGTGTATGATAGTGTGTCTACCGCTGACTGATTCATTCATTCCGAGCTTTGAGCATGATCTGTGTGGCCTTTGTGTACGTAACTGCTCTCTTGCGGAAACTGACAGTACTTCAGTTCACCTACGCCCATGCTTGAAATGTTCCTGTCTTTCTGTTGTTGTGCCTTTCGTGACTTTCTACGGAAAGACCGACGTACATTGTATCACCTGTGATCCCCGAAGAAAGTTGGGAAGGTAGATCTGATCTATTTTCGGTAACAACTATTTTCTTGCGTGTTCTTCGTCAGTTTACGAAAAAGTAGGGCTGCCGTGTGTCGCGGTTGGATTGAGTGAGACCTCTGGCTCTTTCGTTGAACGCTGCCATCAATACGCCAAAACTCACGCACGCCAATGACACTTACGACTTGTGTTGGTCTTTTCCTGCTAGCCCGATGGTCACAACATCAAATTAAGGTAACTGGAGCAAGGCGGCTTGGAACTCGGTCAAGCACGCATTAGACGAGAGTGCAGAATGTTTGAAATCTACTTCCGACAGAAAGTTAACTTTCGTATGTCTGAAGCAGGAGGGAGGGGGAGTTCCCTGAATCATTGGGCGATATCATCAGAGCTGGATATGTCTTCATTCTGTCTCACGCGAATCAAAGTGTCAACAATAGGTACATGTATGGCATGTACTTGCAAGGTCACACGATCGCAATTGCGCAACCTGAACATGCATTCTTAGGATAGTCGTGTATAATTACGTATTCAAAATCCAGTTGTCCTGTTGCCGAAAATTTTGCCTTTAAATAGATCCTTGTCGATGGTTGCTTCTGTCACAGCATGCTTGAATCAAACTTTGATCGTACGACAACCTACGATGAATGTGACCGCGCCTTAAAAAATCCAAGCGAGATCTATTATGGAAACGTGCATGGAAATCTCTCCTGTCTGAACTCACCCCAGTAGGAAATCAACACTTCTCTCAAACCACAAACAGCGTCAGTTTGTTTTTCTCGTGTGCCTGCTAAAACCACAGAGGATGCCAGTTCCTGCTCAAAGACATGCTCCAGGAGTTTTCTCAATGACACTCAGGAGGCCTCACTCTTTCTTGCCCTCTGTACAAAGATCTCTTGACGTCTTCTTCCCGCCAAAGTAGAGAAATGTGTTTTGCTTTCAACGTCTCTCAGTGGGAAACCACCAAGTGCTGCCAAGAATTCCATTGGCAGGAAATACCATAGGCGGGTTTAAGTTGACTACCAGCTGTATTTACCCCGCGGCCACAGGCGGTAACTATGGAGAGGCCAGCTTTTGACTCTTCCCGTCTAAAACGTGACCAACAACTTGTTGAGGAAGGAAAGCTGTAGAATACTAACACGTCCGATGGTCTAAACGGTTTCACTTCATCTGGAAACGACAGGAAAGCCGCAATACTACTTCTATTCAGCTTCCTCGTTGGAGTAAAACACAGTAAAATCGCATGTTCTACAAAAGTACAATCTTGTTGACTTGAACATGTGGATGCAAACATCTGGCGCGGAAGGATGTGACTTAAGTGGAATGTGCTACTTGCGGCAAAAGTCTTTCACAATTAATTACTGTAACATGAGTTCAATACTAGATATAGCTGGCAAGATGACCGTGAACTTTCTTGTAGAGACAGTCACCGGTCTATGCGAAGCAGAGTTTCCTCACATGGAATTCATACAGTCACGTTTGAAGTTAGGAACTCAAGTCTAAGTAAATCATGTATGGCACTGCGAAGAATTCGCAGATGTCTTAGCTTAGGAAAACTCGGTAATGTTCTCGCAGGACGTGGTGGTGTCACATTTGAAATCGTTATTTTCAAAATTAAACCCATTACTGTCAAGATAGCTCAAACCGAGACGGTTATAGGAGCAAACCAGACGACCGTTTCATTCTAGCCCAAGCACTCCATTATTTGTCATAACAGTTCCCCTCGTGCACCCTTCTGTATAAAACAGAGACAAGACAGTAAAAGTCTACGTGCCATAGGTACGGGGCCGGCTGGATAAGATATAAACACTGTATATCAGGATGTTATGAGAAATGTGCTGACGGAGGTAATTAACTTTTACAACGTCCTCCTGACAAGTGTTATTAGCTGTTTGTCGGCATATCCAAGGACCTCTTACGTGACCGACTACCGTCCGCTCAGATATCGCGAGGGCCACGAATTTGCTTATGATACATTTTTTTTCGGTATTTTCAAACCCAAGGTACTCTATCCAACGATCCCATAATGCGCAATACTAGACCAGGCGTTCTGTCAGCCTCCCGTCGTAACGTTGTCACAGCGCCACCTGGCGGCTAAATAGTCCATGATTGTAACTAAACGATGTTTGTGGCCACGTCTCTTGGGTAAATATCGCTACGGGCTGGACTTTGGACCCTACAGGAAAACTTTCCTTCATCCGTCAAGTATTGAATCCTTAAAATTAATCATATGCCCCCTTCAGTTACAATCTATTTTGTTCGAGACATTCTTGAAAAGGAGTCTTGAAGTTATCTTGGTGTTGTGGCTTTCGTCAATGGACGTCCACACAAGAGAAAGGCCGTCACCCTGCGAAAGGTCAGGGCATCGTAGAAGCCCGAATGTCTGGCAAATGTTTACAATAAGACATTATACAGAGTGTGCCAGAGAGGGGGAACGAACACGACCTAGCTATGAGGAGAAGGTTCGAATTCATCCAGCTGTAAAAGTCGTGGCCATTAAATCAGCAGTAACTGCGTACCTTGTCGGTAGAGGAGGATTCCGTTTCGTGTGTGGAGCTGGGGATGTCGGCGCGGGTCAGGCGAAACGAGGACGAACGCCACACGATGCCCTCAGCGAACTTCGCAGGAATGAGGGGTGTTGTAAAATGGGCGTGTGTGTGTGCATACAACAGTACAAGGTTGTGGGGCGGACCCGGACTACGCTATCTTGATCAGCACGAGTCCTGTATAAACTCTCTGTGTTAGCTGCTACATTACCTATTAACTTCAACAATAGATCGAAGTGATTCTATCTGAAGAAACATCTCAAAGTAAATTTGACATTCCAAGCGGGAAGAAGGTCTGGAAGCCGTGACTAGAGGAGGCCAAAGAACAATCAGTGTTTTTTAAACTGAAGATTTCCCAGAAAAGCGATAACTCTCAGATAAACGTTCAGTGGAGTCCATAAAAGTTGCCCTGAGACACTGGACAGGCCCAGAAAGCAGCAGTCTCCCACCTGTGGGTGATAACCAGGTGATAGTTGATGTAGGCTGTGATGGATGTCGCCCCAGTTGCATCCAGATTTATTACAGTGTAACATCTGTGGTTTGTTCCCGCAGATTGAGGCAGTAAGGACTAGTTTTCATTGGCCAGATTGAGCCAGCAGAGACTAGTTTTTAACCAGCAAAACCAGTTCACGTATATAGAGAAGTTGCCGAGTTTTACGGTGTAACATCTGTGATGTCCATTAACACCACAGGTATCCAGAGGGGCTAGACAGGGCTATATTTTTTTCGGTCAGCTTGAGCCAGCAAGGACTAGTTGTCCTGGTCAGATTGAGCCAGCAAGGACTAGTTTTTCCCGGTTAATAGATTGAGCCAGCAAAACCAGTTCACGAAGAGAAAATGAGACATGGTTTCACAAGGACATTCTGAAAGTTTAGAAAGGTTTTGTTGGTCAGCCTGAGAAAGAAAAGAAAATGTGTGCTCTGTTGCTGATTGATGTAATACAACCGTCATTGCAAAATCAGTACTGCTTGGTCCATGATAACTTGAGTGGTCTGTTTATAAAAAGGGCGGGAAATGTAAACACACGAACTAATCTCTGTGTTTTAAGGATGACCACACACTCGGCGGAGACTAATTGGTTTAATGTTAGTACGAGATGAGTTAAATGCACTCCAAGCGGATAACGCCATATCGCAGCACATTGCCAGCCATCCCATCGTTCCTGATTCCATTCGGTCCGATTCCTTGTATTTGATAGTCTCCACCAGACTCATATGCATTTGCGTGCAGGCCAGCCAACTCCACTGGCCAATTATATCCCCTTTTATAATCAGATCGATTTCTACTATTTTTTTTCAGCCTGAAAAAGAGTCTGATGGAGACTATAGTCTATTGCCCTGTCCCTGTCCTGCAGGCGTTAGTCATCACGTGTAAGTTGTCCTCCTGAACGCGTGACCCGGCCATCTCTTACTAGCCTGGCTGCCAAACTTTCCCTGCTCTACATTGGTCGCTGCTCTTCGGCTTCAGGGCCAATGTTCCTCAAAGTAAATATTACCACAGTACAACAGGATCTAATTCACGGAGAGTGTGGTAAAATTTCATTGCGGGGATGTTGACCCTAAAGCCGGAGAGCTGGCCTTTGTATGCCCTGGAAACAGTCTGACCAACTTCTAAAGTGCTCTCAAGTGTTCTTGTACCTCCTTTCCTGAATCAAGGTAGCGAATGGCATTGGCCCCACCTGTACTGGCTGGCTAACTCCACTGACATATCATTCAGTCTATTTGTCCAATCTATACTATTATCCTGCAACTCTTTGCAATTGGAGTCTGGTAGAGGTTAATACGTATGGCAAGGGCGAGGGTCAACAGGTGCTGCTGGTATACTTTGGCACAAACCAGCCAGCCTGTCCTTGTCCCAGTTCTGCTGTTTACGTTCAATTAGACGTTGGCAGTAGTGGCTACAGGAAAGTCCAGGGATTAT